CTTCCTCTTGGCACGTTGCTCCCTTTCTCGCTCCATTTGTGTCTCCTCAAATTCCACAGCACTGCTGGTCACAGCTGACCTCCAGTTAGAGCGCTCAAGGGCTAGGGCTTCCCGGTTCTCTCTCGATGCGTATGCCACAGTTTTTAAGGTTGGCTTTAAGCCCATCTTTAAGTCTCTTTTCCTGTCTACCAACATTCCTTTTTCCATTCTTCAGTTATTTATTTATTTATTTATTTGCTTCATTTTTATACCGCATTTTTCAGCCCTTAACAGGCGACTCAATGCGGTTTACAGTGCAATTAAAACACAACAATGCAACAACAGGATCGACGACGTTGATCCACAACAATTAACAATCAGACAGGACAAAACAACAAACAACATATATAACGCCTCAGTTGAAATCAGATCCGTTCTCATAGTCGTTGTGCCGTTCCTATGTTCCATTTACCGTCTTCCTTGATTAGTTGCATTGCTTAGCCAAACGCTTGTTCGTAAAGCCAGGTCTTGACCATTCTCCGAAACGTCAGCAACGAAGGTGCCTGTCTGATGTCTGCCGGCAAGGCATTCCATAGCCGAGGGGCCACCACCGAGAAGGCCCTGTCTCTCGTTCCCGCCAACCGCGCTTGTGACGCAGGCGGGACCGAGAGCAGGGCCTCTCCGGACGATCTTAATGTCCTAGTCGGTTCATAGGTGGAGATGCGTTCGGAGAGGTAAGCGGGGCCAGAACCGTTTAGGGCTTTATAGGCTAAAGCCAGCACCTTGAATTGTGCCCGGTAGCGGATTGGCAGCCAGTGGAGCTGGCTCAGCAGAGGAGTGGTATGCTCCCTGAGTGCCGCTCCCGTTAGCAACCTGGCTGCCGAGCGCTGGACCATCTGAAGCTTCCGGGCAGTCTTCAAGGGCAACCCCACGTAGAGCGCGTTGCAGTAATCAATCCGGGATGTAACCAGAGCGTGGACCACCGTGGCCAAATCAGACTTCCCAAGGTACGGGAAGTTGGGAGTATAGTAACTGCTTTGGGAGACAGTGATCTTTGGGCATTTGGACAACATGGCCTTCAGCCTAGCAGAGTTCATGGGGTAGGAGCATCACTTCATTTTTTTTTTTAGGGCTTTTATATCCCATCTTATCTCAACCTCGGAAGAGGGACTCAAATCGGCACCCCATGGCGTCCACATCAAAAACATGCAATTTAATGGCAGTGTAATAATAACAAAATAAAACAGAATAAACAGTATAAAACCATATAAAACAATATAAAAACAAACTTCAGTGCTGGTGGTCTTCGCTTCTTCTTTCAGCACGCTGACATTTGTCCGCCTGTCTTCCCAAGAGATTTGCAGGATTGTTTCGGAGGCAATGCTGATAGAATTGTTCCAGGAGTTGAATGTGACATCTGTAGACAGTCCACGTTTCGCAGGGTTGGGAGGGCAACCGATTTATAAACAAGCACCTTGGTCTCCCTACGGATGTCCCAGTCCTCAAACACTCTCTGCCTCATTCGGAAGAATGCTGACCTCGCAGAGCTCAGGCGGTGTTGTATTTCAGTGTCAATGTTGACTTTTGTAGAGATGTGGCTGCCAAGGGAGCGGACATGGTCAACATTTTCTAGTGTTATATTATTAAGCTGTATTTCTGGCATTGCAGAGAGATTAGAGCACTGAAAGAGCACTTTGGTTTCCTTGATATTCAGTGAGAGGCCGAGCTTCTCGTATGCTTCTGCAAAGGTGTTTAGAGTGGCTTGAAGGTCTTCTTCTGAATGCGCATAGACTACGTTGCCATCGGCATACTGGAATTCTATAACAGATGTTGTTGTGACCTTAGTTTTGGCAGCTGAGGTTAAATAGCTTACCATCTGTCTGATAGATTATGTCACAAAGGTTAGCAACCCAAGCGACGCTGCCGCAAAATTAAATTGCTGGAATACCAAATGTCGAAATATTATCCAAATTTAAGCTATTTATTTATTTACTGTATTTGTATACCGCCCTTCTCAGCCAATTGGCTACTCAAGGCGGTTTGAGTCGCCGATTGGCCAGAAATGGGAAAAAAATAGCACAGGATCATATATTTTGACAATTGGTAAATTTGTGTATCGATCCCCAAAGCTGGATCAATAATAAATCAGATAAAGGAATACAGGAATTGAATTATTGTCTCTTGCAATCCCCAGGTCCAACCATGCGAATCTATGGACAACTTCTAGCACAAGATAATAATAATAATAATAATAATAATAATAATAATAATAATAATAATCTTTATTTATTACCCGCCACCATCTCCCCAAAGGGGACTCGGGGCGGCTGACATGAGGCCAAGCCCAAAAATAATACAACATAATTAGACACAAAAACAACAAAAATACAACATAACAAACTATATAAAATAACAAATAAAATAAACAGTATAAAATAGCATAGTAAGACCTGTTAAGACTTGTTTTGGAGGATCTTGAAATTGCACTCATGTTTTTGAATCATAGCAATATTTTGACTCCAGGCTATGGGATCCTGGGAGTTATAGTTTCACAAGACCTTTGGATCTTTTCAAGAATGCACCAAACTACAACTCCCAGCATTCCATTGCTTTGGGTCATTGGCAGTTCAAGTGGGGTCAAACTGCATTCATTCAACAGTGTAGATACACCCTTAGTAATGAAACCCAGCTAATACAATAGGTTGCTTTTCTTACTGTATGTAAAGGGGAGGATTGACGACTGCTACCAAGCCAACGTGATTGCAATTCATTATATGTTGTCTTTCAGGCATATATTATATGGAATCCTAATTGGCTATACTAAATGAGCAGCACAAAATGTGTATAGGGAACGCATCCTTTCATGGATGAATTGTTGCTCCGGCTTTGGAAAAGCCCCTCAGGTTGAAAAGTCTTCATGAGACGGCTCTGGAAAAGGAAACTGATCTCCACATATGGGTTGTTAGGAAGAACTTCCTGACTGTGAGAGCTGTTCAGCAGTGGAACTCTCTGCCCCGTAGCGTGGTGGAGGCTCCTTCTTTGGAAGCTTTTAAACAGAGGCTTGATGGCCATCTGTCAGGTGTGCTTTGAGTGCAATTTTCCTGATTCTTAGCAGGGGGTTGGACTGGATGGCCGATGAAGTCTCTTCCAACTCTGTGATTCTATGATTTGTGCCTTTCCGGGTTACATCTAAACAAGAAATCACAGGGTAGCCGGAGTATTTTGTTTTGGGAACACAGTGCTTCCTGCTTTGATTTTAGATTTTAGATCAAAAAGGTTGTCCAAAGTGCTGAAGGTGGAGATGAGGTTTCAGCTGCTGGATAGTTCCACCGAAACCTAAGAGGAAAGCAGCCCAGTTATTTCTTCTTTTGTATTTTCAGATATGAGGATGGATATCTTCCATCATACTTCGTAGCGTTTACAGCTAAGGTTGCAATCATGTTCTTTTCTTCTTTCATTTCTCCTCCTCATTCTCTCCTGCATCTTATTTGTTCTTTTCTTCTTCCTCCTTCCCTTTTCCTTCTTATTCCTTCTTCCTTCCATCCTCCTCTTCCTTCTTCACTTCTTTTCTTCTTCCCCTTTGTCTTCTTCCCTTCCTTCTCCTCTTCCTCATTCTCTGTCTTCTTCTATCTTTCCTCTCCCTTGTCTTCTTCCCTTTCTCCTGCTCTCCCTTCTTATACTTTTCCTCCGCCTCTTCTTTCTTCCATTCTTCTTCTTCTTTCTTTCTTTTTTCCTATTTTTCTTCTCCCTCTCCCTTTTTCTCTTGTTCCTCCTCTTCTTCTTCTTCTTTCTTCTTCCCTTCTTCCTTCTTTCCCTTTTTCCTCCTCTTCCTCATCCTCTTTCTTCTTCTACTTTTCCTCTTCTTCTTCCCTTTCTTTTGCTCTCCCTTCTACTTTTCCTCCTCTTCTTCCTTCTTTCCTTCCTCCTCCTCTTCTTCTTTCTTCACCTTTTCTTCTTCCCTTCTTCCTTCTTTCCTTCTCCTTCCTACTCTTCCTCCTCTTTCTTCTTCTACCTTTCCCCTTCCTCCTTTCTTCTTCCCTTCTTCCTGCTCGTCCTTCTACCTTTCCTCGCCTCCTTCTGTTTCTCTTCTTTTTTCTTCCTTTCTTCCTCTCCCTCTCCCTTCTTCTTCTGCTCCTCCTCCTCTTCTTTTTCTGTCTTCTTCCTTAAACCATAGACCACAACAGTGGTTGCCAAAGTGGAACAATACTGCTATTATTCTGTAGTGTGGCTCGGTCCCGGTGTTTTTGTTTAAACATGCCTTTTATCATATTTCAAAGTATTGAGTTGATTTAATCTGGGATTCTTTCTATTCATGTACATGTCTGAACTCCATTCCACTCAGAGAGCTCACAGTAGGGAGTGAGGATCAAAATATTTTAATCGATTGATTAATCGATTAATGAATCATCAATCATGGGGTTGTTTAAAGCTGGGCTCCTTGGCCACATTAACAGCTTGGCGGGCGCATGGAATGAGTGAAAAGTAATTAGGCAGCATGTTCTGTGTCATGTTCTGGAACCTGCATTACAAGGCAAATAAAATCAAGCCATTTACCGGGGAATTAAGGGGATGAACTAATGAACGCGCTCCCCGGGAATGCCTATACAAAATGCAGACAGCCATTCAGTGCTTTCTTTTCTCTTCCTTGTAGCAAATATCCTTTAAGCGCATTAAATAGATTATTTGCATTTGTTTGGCCTGCTGACACGTAACATGTGTGAATCTCAACGTTCATTCTCTTATTTCTTGGTCTTTAGCAGTTCTACAATGTGGAATGAATCCGTTTTGGCACCACTTTTGAACTGCCATGACTCAAGGCTAAGCAAGGATGGGAGTTGTAGTTTTACAAGGCCAAAGTATGACTTCAGCGACTTCTTAGCATTGAGCTAAGTTCAAGTGGCTCCATACTGCATTCATCCTACAATGTAGATGCAGAAAAGTCGACACTGTGTGCATTGTGTGCAAATTCTGGGATGAAATCCAGTTGATTATCGCCTTTTGTGCCTCCCGATCTCTTGCAGGACTTCCCATTCGCGGGCCAAAGCGGACGCCGCCGTCACCGCTGCGCAGAAAGCCCAGGAGGAAGCTCGGATCGCCCGGATCACTGCCAAAGAGTTTTCGCCTTCCTTCCAGCACCGGGAAAACGGTCAGTGCGAGGCACGCACGTAGGTGGGCGCACACAGAGATGCCGAAGCCCAGGGATGACTTCATCCCTTCTCTGGGCAAAGGCAGGCGCGTTCCTGCCGTGGAGCAAGCCGTTCTTTGCACGAAGCCCTGTGACACAGATCAATGGCTCCTTGGCACTCCTGTTCACTTGCATCTAGCCAGGATTGTATCTCCTTTGGAGTCCTTGAGACTGTTCTTTCCTTCTTCCGTGGCCCCCATTTGCAAGCGGCTTTATGATTCCCCGGGTGGCGCAGTGGGTTAAAGCACTGAGCTACTGAACTTGTTGGTTTCAGGTTCAAATCCAGGGAGCGGCATGAGCTCCCGCTGTTAGGCCCAGCTACTGCCAACCTAGCAATTTGAAAACATGCAAGTGTGAGTAAATTAATAGGTAGCACTCTGGTGAGAAGGTAATGGAACTCCATATAGTAATGCAGACCACATGACCTTGGAGGTGTCTACGGACAACGCTGGCTCTTTGGCTTAGAAATGGAGATGATCACCAACCCCCAGAGTCAGACTTAATATCAGGGTGAAACTTTTGCCTTTACCTATTATTGTTGTTGTTGTTTTTTTATGTGTTTTTTTTTGTCGTGTCAGGAGCGACTTGAGAAACTGCAAGTCGCTTCTGGTGTGAGAGAATTGGACATTGCTTAGGGGCCGTCCGAATGTTTTTTGTTTTTTTTATGTTTTACCATCCTTGTGGGAGGCTTCTCTCATGTCCCCGCATGAGGAGCTGGAGCTGATAGAGGGAGCTCATCTGCGCTCTCCCTGGATTCGAACCTGCGACCTCTCGGTCTTCAGTCCTGCCAGCACAGGGGTTTAACCCACTGCGCCACTGGGGGTCCTCCCTATTGTTGTTGTTATTGTTGTTATTATTATTATTATTATTATTATTATTATTATTATTATTTACCTTTTACCTTATGATTCCTAGAGTCAGAAGGGACCCCAAGGGCCATCCAGCCCAACCTTCTTTTTTCTGCCAGGCAGGAAAAGCACAATCAAAGCACCCCTGACAGATGGCCATCCAGCCTCTGCTTAAGAGGCTTTAAGAGGCTGCAATAGCCTCCAAGTCAGCAACTTATTGTTGAACAACTCATGAGCATTTGCTTATTTATTTAATTATTTATTTACAGTACTCATCTTTCCACCCTTCTCATCCCAAAGGGGACTCAGGGCAGATCACAGAACACATATACGGCAATTATTCAATGCCGATTATACAACGACAAGACAGACAACAAATAGTGTACACACACAAACATACACACACACACATATATATACACACACACCGCACACATATCTATATAAATAAAAATGTAATGTTCGTTTGTGGTATTAACATAACTCAAAAACCACTGGACGAATTGACACCAAATTTGGGCACAGTACACCTCTCAGGCCAACTCACAAAAACACTGGAAAATATAATACGAGAGACTTAAAAAGCCAAAAAACAAAAATTACATTACAACACATGCGCAAATCACATATACACACAAACACACATATATACACATATACACAAATATACACACGCATATATACACAGACTGGACCACAGCAATGTGTGGCAGGAGATATATATAAGCATTCTAATCTGTTCAGCATCTTTGGAGGCTGTGCTTGATTCTTCTTGTCAAATAATAATAATAATAATAATAACTTTATTTATACCCCGCCACCATCTCCCCAAGGGACTCGGAGCAGCTTACATGAGGCCAAGCCCAACAACACATCACAACAGAAAAGCAATAACCACAATACAAAGCAATACAAAATAATATAAATCACATATAACAATAACACCCTGGATTTAAAAGCTTATGGCCAAGCAAGATATAATGATTTAAAATTTTTTAAAAATAACGCTGGGCATGACAAGATAGGATATATCTCGTAGGAGGGTTTTTAAAGAGCTTTTCTTCCTCCTTTTCCTTCTCGAAAGCAGCTGAGGGGGGAAAGGAAAGAGATTAAGGCTGTTAGGAATTGTGGGAGTTGCAGTCCAAACCACCTGGTGGGCCGAAATTTGCCCATGCCTGCACTAGAGCATGGATCCACTTTAAATCCAGTTTCTGCCTCCTGCAGAATTCTGGGGCTTGTATTTTAGGGATGCGTCCTTAAACTGCTCAGCCAGACAGTTTCTAGGCCTCACTAAACTACAAACCCCAGAATTCTGCAGGTGGCAGAAACTGGATTTAAAGTGAATCCATTATTATTTATCGCGTCAGTACAGATAAACCACAAAGTTAAAAACTTGGCATGTTACTAACCTTTGAACAGAAGCTGGCCACTTGGAGCGCCTCTGGTGTTGCTGTAAGAAAGTCCTCCCTTGTGCATGTGGCAGGGCTCAGGCCGCATTGTAGTCGGTGGTCTGTGGTTTGCTCTTCTCCAGACTCGCATGTTGTGGACTCTACTTTGTGTCCCCATTTCTTATGATTGGCTCCACATCTCGTGGTGCCAGAGCGCAGTCTGCTCAGTGTCTTTCAAGTCATCCAGTCTTCTGTGTGCCCAGGAGGGAAGCTCTCATCCGGTCTCAGCCACTGATTGAGGTTCTGGGTTTTAGCCTGCCACTTTTGGACTCTCGTTTGCTGAGGTGTTCCTGCAAGTATTTCTGTAGATCAGTGGTTCTCAACCTGGGGTCCCCAGATGTTTTTGGCCTACAATTCCCAGAAATCCTAACAGCTGGTAAACTGGCTGGGATTTCTGGGAGTTGTAGACCAAAAACATCTGGGGACCCAAGGTTGAGAAGCACTGCTGTAGATCTTAGGAAGCTATTTCTTGATTTAAGGCATTGGTATGCTGGCCAGTACCTGTCCATGCCTTGGTCCTTTCATTGCTGGCTGCAGGTGGTGCAATACGGACTAAAGCAGTGATTTCCAACCTTTTTTTGACCAGGGACTACTTGACCAGGGACCACTTTGACCAGGGACCACTCCCCAACATTAGTACTAAAGGGGTTACGAAACCTTTTTGGTCAACTTTCAGTTTGGTTATTTGGCTTGCTGATTCATAAAATTGCATTGGATAGACCACATCAGCTCTAGTTTCTGATATAGAACATATGCCACCCAGTAGTCGCCATCTGCTCGCCCACAAATAACCATATTTAATAAGGCTTGACTCTATAAGAGGATTTTGCGATACCAATCACTCTTGTTTCAACTATGTAGTAATGGTGAGGCTGCGGACCATATTTTAGTTCCTGCGGACCACTGGTGGTCCACAAACCACAGATTGGGAACCTCTGGGCTAAACAGTATAGAAGTGGATCGATACTCTGGTATGATGAGGCTGTCTGAGTCCCTTGTAACTCAGTAATTTGGGGAGTGCCTGTATAGAGGATGATGCCGAGGACCTTTCCTGGGTTGCTTGTTTGCTTATCCCATGTTTGTGCCCCTTTCAGGGCTGGAGTGCCAGAGGCCAAAGCGCCAGGCCTCCAACGACGACATCGAGGTGCTCTCAACGGGGACCCCGCTGCAGCAGGAGAGCCCCGAGCTATACCGCAAAGGGACCACCCCGTCAGACCTGACCCCGGACGACAGCCCCCTGCAGAGCTTCCCGGCTAGCCCCTCGTCCACCCCGCCCTTGGGCCCCTCCTGCCGCAACAAGAGTGCCCACTTTGCCCGCCAGCTCTGCCTGGACGAGGAGCGGGGTGGCGGGGAGATCCAGATGCTGCTGGAAGGCCGTGGAAGGGACTACTTGCGCCCCAACAGCTGGGCCGAAGACAAGGAGGTGGCCGGGGCCCACGGTGTGCGGGGAGGGGTCCTGCGCAGCACCCAGCCTGAAGACCCCCGATCTCGCAAGCACCTGCCGGCCTCCAACCACAAGCCCCGGGAGCGGTGGGCTGACCCTCCCTCCGCGGTGACGTGGACTCATCACCGGCCTCACCATCATGGTTCGGGTGGCGCCAAGCTGCTGGATCTGGATGAGGAGAAGACGAGCAACTACGAGATGGAGATGAAGCCTCTCCTGAGGATGGATTCCTATATGCAAGAGATGCACGCCCAAAAAAGACACTATGGCAAAGCCGGGGCTGGACGCAGCCTTGCCGGGGCCGAGGAGCAACAACAGCATCACCCCGGGGACGAGCGTGGCTTCGGGGTCCAAAGACTGAGGTCCAAGGCCCAAAACAAGGAGAACTTCCGACCCGTTGCTTCTTCTTCTTCGGCCGAGCCGACGGTGCAGAAACTAGACAGCCTGAGGTTCGGGGAGAAAGGGGAGCCCCGGCTCTTGCGGTGGGACTTGACCTGCTCCCCGCCACAGAAATCCTTACCTGTTGCACTAGAATCAGAGGAGGAAAATGGGGACGAGCTCAAATCCGGCGCGGTAAGTGCAGCAGGAGGGAATGGAGTGGTCCGGTGGAAAGTTGGTTTTACATATTGTTGGTTCCACTTTGACAAATGGCAGAAAGAAGGGGTTGGACTGAATGACCTTTGGGGTCAACTGGAGGAGGAGGAGGAGGGAAGGAGGTATCTGGGGGCTCTCCCTTCATTTCCGTGTTGGAAGAAGGAAGGAAGGAGGGAAAGAAGGAGAGGCAGAAGAGGAGGTAACACATGGCACACACAACACAAGGAAGGAAGGAAGGAAGGAAGGAAGGACCACATAAAACACACAACAAGGGAGGAAGGAAGGGGAGGAAGGAAGGGAGGGAAGGGAGGGAGGGAGGGAGGGAGGGAGGGAGGGCGGGAGGAGGGAGGAGGGAGGGAGGGAGGGTGGAGGTAACAAATGGCACACACAACACAAGGAAAGAAGGAAGGAAGGAAGGAAGGAAGGAAGGAAGGAAGGAAGGAAGGAAGGAGGAGGAAGGAGCGAAGGATAGAAGGAAGAAAGGGTGAGGTAACACATGGCACACACAACACATGGGAGAAAGGAAGGAAGGAAGGAAGGAAGGAAGGAAGGAAGGAAGGGTGGAGGTAACACATGGCACACACAACACATGGGAGAAAGGAAGGGAGGGAGGGAGGGAGGGAGGGAGGGAGGGAGGAAGGAAGGAAGGAAGGAAGGAAGGAAGGAAGGAAGGAAGGAAGGAAGGAAGGAAGGAAGGAAGGAAGGAAGGGTGGAGGAAACACATGACACACACAAAACATGGGATGATGGATGGATGGATGGATGGATGGATGGGAGGGAAGTAGGGAAATAGGGAAGTAGGGAGGAAGGGTGGAGGTAACAAATGGTACACACAACACTTGGGAGGGAGGGAAGAAGGAAGGAAGGAAGGAAGGAAGGAAGGAAGGAAGGAAGGAAGGCAGGAAGGAAGGAAGGAAGGAAGGAAGGAAGGAAAGAAGGCAGGCCCCCCAGAAAATGCATGGGACAAAAAGGAACACAACATACTGCCAGTCTTCCCTCCTCTGTGAGCAAAAGGTAATGGTGGAGCGTTTTCTCCAAGGAGCATTTTGGATCCTCCCATAAATTGCAAAACCGTATCATTTTAAAGGGGAGAATTACGAATGCCATCACAAGACAGAATTGGCCGTTTTGCCCATCTTTATCCAGATAATTTGCAAAAAAAAGTCAGTTGCCAGCCAGCTTAGAAAGCGTTGAAAAGATAATTCTTAGCAACGCTTTTAAATGCCAAGATTTCTCTACCCTGCACTTGAAGGCAACGTCATGTGATGGACACAGTAGGTGGCCGTTTCTTTAATGGGTGGCTTCGTAGTATGTAATAACGTTGAACATAGAATAGTGCTGGAAGATCTAGACCAGGCATGGGCCAACTTTCAATCCATTAATGCTTCATGTTCTGGCTCTTTTAGGGTATTTGGGCCCTAACTTCTATGTCACCATTTATATTACTTTTTTAAAAAGATCAATTTGTATAAAATATTGCCTGAAGGTAATCTTGTATGCAATGCTTTAAATAATTTTGGGCGTGAAACCCACTGAACCATCAGAGAACAAAGGTGCCATATCTTTCAACCATTCTGGATTTTGGAGAATTTGTGGATTCAGGGTAAGGGACACTCGATCCGTATTTAATGAAATGGAAGAAGAACGTGTTAGGGAAAACTACCCTAAAATAAAGCAGCAGAGGATCCAAAAACAAACAGGATACAAAGATACATTCCCAACTGTCATTCAGGGGACATGTTGTTGTTCATTAGTTCAGTCGCTTCCAACTCTTTGTGACTTCATGGACCAGCCTACACCAGAGCTCCCTGTCAGCTGTCACCACCCCCAGCTTCTTCAAGATCAATCCAGTCGCTTCAGGAATACCATCCATCCATCTTGCCCTTGATTGGCCCCTCTTCCTTTTTCCTTCCATTTTCCCCAGCATCATTGTCTTCTCCAAGCTTTCCTGTCTTCTCATGATGTGGCCAAAGTATTTTATCTTGGCCTCTACTATCCTTCCCTCCAATGAGCAGTCGGGCTTTATTTCCTGGAGGATGGACTGGTTGGATCTTCTCGCTGTCCAAGGCACTCTCAGAACTTTCCTCCAGTACCACAGTTCAAAACCACCTCTCTTCCTTCGCTCAGCCTTCCCTATGGTCCAGCTCTCACACCTGTAGGTTACCATTGCTTTTACTATGTGGATCTTTGTTGCCAGTGTGATGTTGCTACTCTTCACTATTTTATTGAGATTGGACATTGCTCTCCTCCCAAGAAGTAAGCGTCTTCTGATTTCCTGGCTGCAATCTGCGTCTGCAGTAATCTTTGCACCTAGAAATACAAAGTCTGTCACGGCCTCCACATTTTCTCCCTCTATTTGCCAGTTATCAATCAGTCTGGTTGCCATAATCTTGGTTTTCTTGATGTTTAACTGCAACCCAGCTTTTGCACTTTCTTCTTTTACCTTGATTAGAAGGGTCCTCAGCTCCTCTTCGCTTCCGGCCATCAAAGTGGTATCATCTGCATTATATATATAACATAACAAAGTTGTTAATGTTTCTTCCAGCAATTTTCACCCCAGACTTACATTCGTCGATCCCCACACATCACATATGTTCTGCATACAAGTTGAATGGGTTGGGTGACCGTAGACAACCCTGCCGTACACCTTTCCCAATCTTGAACCAGTCTGTTGTTCCATGGTCACTTCTTACTGTTGCTACTTGGTCCTTATACAGATTCCTCAGGAGGCAGACAAGGTGATTTGGTATGCCCATACCACCAAGAATTTGCCACAATTTATTATGATCCACACAGTTAAAGACTTTAGAATAGTTAATAAAGCAGAAATAGATGTTTTTATGAAATTCCCTGCCTTCCTCCATTATCCAGCGGATAGTGGCAATATGGTCTCTAGTTCCTCTGCCTTTTCTAAACCCAGCTTGAACATCTGGCAACTCTCACTCCATGTGTTGCGGAGTCTTCCTTGCAGGATCATGAGATTACCTTGCTGGCATGAGAAATAAGGGCCACTGTACAAAAGTTGGAGCCGTATTTAACAGTTCCCTTTTTTGGTATGGGGATATAAGTTGATTTTAGGGGACATGGGCGAAGGGAAACCCTTAGCCTATACTAAGCTAACTAAACTATTTCTCATTGGGCAGTGTGGGGTTGAATTCCAACAGAATGCAATGGCCATACAAAACTTCCCATTCCATTCATCCATAGCGTTTGCTACTATCCATTGTTTCCTGTGGATACTGTCAGGAACATATTCCTTGAGGAGATGTGGGTTTTATTGTTTATATATATATCACGTTCCCCATCAACGAGATACAACAATCTTTTTGGAGCAGTGGCCTTGTAAATACAGTTTTGATCTACGAAGGCCTTTGATGCAGTTGGCAGGTTCCGTCTCCATTTACCTTGCACCTGTCACCGTTGGCATTTAGCTTTACATTTCCTTCTATAAATTATTAAAGAACTCAAAACTGGGGAGCATCTCCGAAGGCAAGGCAATGCTAATGTTGCAAAGTGTAGATGATGCTGTGCCATGGAGCGGCACGAGAAGCCGGAGCTGGAGAGAACTCCGGGTGCATCTACATTGTACAATTAATGCGGTTTGACAACACTTGAAGCCTGGCTCATTACTATAGAAGGATGGGAGTTGTAGTTTTACAAGGTTTTTCGCTTTTCTCCGCCAAAGACTGCTGGTGCTTGAGCAAACTCCCACGATTGCCTAGCGTTGAGCCCAACTGCATTCATTCTGTAGTGTAAATGCACCCCAAGATTCCTCCAAGATTCTTTTTCGAGCATGCAATGACCCAAATATGAAAAGTACAGGAGTCTCCATTTCTCTTGCTTGAATTTCCTTTATCACTTGAAAGAAAAAGAAAGACTCCAAATATAGGAAATCAATCTCAGCCTTTAATTTTACCATCCAGAAAGCTGGGAGATTTGTCTAAAGCATGCAAACTTGAACAGCAATTTATTCTAAAAATGGATTATTCTCAATTTACTTAAACATACCAACTTAAAATACATATACCGTATATACTCGAGCATAAGCCCAACTGAATATAAGCCAAGGCACCTAATTTTTCCGCAAAAAAATGGGAAAACGTATTGACTCAAATATAAACTGAGGGTGGGAAATGCAGCAGCTATGGGTAAATTTCAAAATAAAAATAGATACCAATGAAATTACATTAATGAGGCAGCCGGAGGTTCAATGTTTTTGAATATATCCATAAAACAGTAATTTAAGACAAGACTGTCCAACTCTGATTCAACCATTATTCTAGCCTTCTTCAATGTAAATGTGCTTACATATCCCTTCAATAATAATAGAGTAAAATAATGTAAATGTAATATAACAACAATATATATAAATGTTCTGTGAATAATTAGTACCTTAAAAACAAAAGAACCAATGAACGAAATCACACCAAATTTGGCAACAAAATGTCTCACAACACAAGGAGTGACCATCACTCAAAAATGTATGATTTTGTCATTTGGGTGTTGTAGCTGCTGGGATTTATAGTTCACCTACAATCAAAGAGCATTCTGAACTCCACCAATGATGGATTTGAACCAAACGTGGCACACAGGACTCCCATGACCAACAGAAAACACTAGAAGGATTTGGTGGGCATTGACCTTGAGTTTGGGAGTTGTAGTTCACCAACATCCAGAGAGCACCGTGGACCCAAACAATGATGGATCTGGACCAAACTTGGCATGAATATTCCATATGCACAAATATGATGACAGATGGAGTTTGGGGGAAATAGACCTTAACATTTGGAAGTTGTCGTTGCTGGGATTTATAGTTCACCTACAATCAAAGAGCATTCTGAACCCCACAAGCAATAGAATTGGGGCAAACTTCCCACACAGAACCCCCATAACCAACAGAAAATACTTATGGCCATCCAGTCCAACTCCCTTCACCAGGGCAAGAAACATAATCAAAGCCCTCCTGACAAAGAGCCACC